AGAACATTTTCTTTATAAATTATGTTATGCCAGTTGAGCTAGATGGGAACCAGGATTTTAATGTAAAGCTACGGTGCATGCCAAGCAAGCTGCTTGAGGCAGTGGAATTTTCTTCCGTCTGGGGACCTCTGTCTTACAGGGATCATTGCCTTTTATTTGTGTATCACAGGAAGAGATTACATACTATACCTCGAAAGTCTGAACCTGGACTTTTCATTATGGAAGGACAAGTATAGAATTATTTAGGCTACCTGTTGTTTCTGGAGTCATTTTTAGAAAATTTAGGGTTTTTTTTTTGTTTGTTTGTTTGTTTTAAAGTAGGTAGAATAGACAGTTTTTAAGTGTATACATTGTCAGGGGGCTGAACTGAGTGGTCTCTTGAGTAGCTAATTAAGTCCCCCATGTCTACCTGCTCGTTTCTTTTATATCTCAAAAGAGATTGGCTCAAGATAGTATCTAATCTTACAGCTCTTATCCATATAACTGCTGCTAATCCATCTCATCAGCGTCATAGAGGTAGGATTTACAACACATAGGAAAATCACATCAGATGACAAAATGGTGGACGATCACACAATACTGGGAATCATGACACAGCCAAGTTGACAGACATTTTGGGGGACATAGTTCAATCCATGACACCCTCCCTTCCACCTAATAAAGAGGCTTCAGCAGAGGAAGGCCTACCAAGTCTGGCTAGGGTGGCTTTCTTCCTGAGGCCTGCCAGGTAAAGCCTTTGTTATTGCCTATAGTCAGACATGAAAAATCACACACGTGTTTAGCTAGGAGCTGGACTCCTCATCCATTGGTTTCATATCTGTCATTATGACCCCTTTTCCATTCTTAATGTTATTTGTATCTTTGTTTTTGACCAGTCTTGCCAGAAGTTTGCCAGTTTTTACTGCTCTTTTCACTAGCTCACTTTTGGCTTTGTTGATTCTCTCCGTAGTTTCATTTTCATTAATTTCTGCTCTATTCTTTTTTCCATTTCATTTGATTTACATGTTTTCTTTCTAACTTAAGTTGGATTCTTACCTCATTAATACACAGCCCTTCTTTTTTTAATACTGCATGTAAAACTACTAATTTACCTCTGAGTACTGCATTCACTTGACAGTACACAACAACTACATTTACTGAATCCCATGGTTTTGATAAATAGTACTTTATCATTCAGTTCTAAAAAGTTTTTCGAATTTCCATTGTGATTTCTTCTTCACCTGAGTTATTTTGGAGTATTTTTAAATTTCCAAACATGGGAATTTGGGGGGGGGGGTGTGGGCAGGTTTGTTTTATTATGGACTTCTAATTTATTTGTATTGCCAACAGAGAATGTACTCTCTATAAGACAGTCTTTGGAATTGTTTAAGATTTGTTTCATAGCCTCTAGTACTCAATCAGTTTTTACAAGTGTTTCCTGTGTACTTTAGGAGAATATATATTCTATATTAGTGGGAGCGTGTGTTACATTTTTGCCATTTGGTCAAGTTTATTGTTTTATTCAGTTCTCCTATGTTCCTGTTGATTTTTGGCTTGCTTGCTCTATCACTTATTGAAAAAAGGTATTTAAATTGCCACTGATAATGGATTTGTCAGTTTCTTCTGTACTTTGGTCAGTTTTTGCTTGTGTTTTGGTGCTATTCTATTAGGTACATACACATTTAGAATTGTTACTTTTCCTGATGAAGTTAATTTCTAATATTATGCCATGATCTTTTCTATACCAAATAATCCTTTTTTGTCTGAAAGTTTATTTTGTCTGATACTAACAGGTATCAAAACTTTCCTTTGTTTAGTATTTGCCTCGTGTATCTTTCTTCACCTTTTACTTTCATCCCTTCCCTGTCCTTATGTTTTAGATATGCTACTTATAAAAGATAATAACTTAGTTATTTTTTTATTCCAGTCTAATAAATGCTCATTTCAACATGTTAACCATGATTATTAATATTATTGTTGGCTGATTATTGATATGTTCATTTATATTCTCGCTATGCTTTTGTTTTCCATTTGTCTCACTTTTTTCTTTTTTAAATTGATATTATTTTTTAATAAATTTCTTATTCTGAAATAATTTCAAACTTACAGAAAAGCTGCAAAGACAAGACAGAGAATTCTTCTAATATTAACATCTTACATAATCATGGTATGTTTGTCAAAACTAAGAAATCAACATTGGTAAAATACTTACCTAACCTATAGTCTCTTCAGATTTCCCAAGTTTTTCCAGTAATGTCCTGAAGAGAATCCCAGGATCTAATCCAAGAATTCTTATTTCACTTAACTTCTTTTATAATATATAATTTTTACTTAATACTTTGGTGGAAAGCAATTACAGAAAGTCTTTCTAATTAACAAAGATTTAAAACATAATTTTAAAGTTTTTCAAACATTTGGAGGACTACATACAAACACTGTAACAGGCAGACCTGTTTTACACCATCTAAATTTAGCCGTGTTAACGTATGTCCGTAATTCCTTATCTGTAATAGCAAACTATAAAACCTTGAAAACTAAAAGCTTTTTCATAACTCATTTAATGACAAACTTGATCTGAACTAGTATTTGTCTATTTATAACCTTAATGTGACTATTTTGCCTAACACAGAATAAGTACATTTCACTGCAGGTATAGCAAGGTGTTTGATTACAGGTGCTTCCCCAGATTCTGCTGGGAGTTGATTACATTCTTTTTTTGTTTCTCACTACTGGTTTCGAAGTTACATTCTCTATTTCTAGTTTTTATTACCATGACTACTTAAAATCTTTGATCTTAAAAAAGACGTAACTTCTTGAGTTTCATTTTAAAAAAAAGTCTTTTGTAGATTTAACTACATGTTTAAGTGTACTCGTTCCTCATTCCATCTTGGGTCTCAGATCTTCCATCTGAGATCATTGTCTTCCTCCTAAAGTATGTCCTTTCGAAGTTCCATCAGTGTGGTGTTGTTACGTGCTGTTGAGTCGATTGCTACTCATAGCGACTATGTGACAGAGCAGAACTGCCCCCGTAGGGTTTTCTAGGCTGTAGTGTTTACAGGAACAGATCGCCAGGTCTTTTCTCTCGCAGAGCCGCTGGATGGGCACCAACATCCGACTTCTGGGTTAGCAGTTGGGTGCTTAACTATCTCCACTGCCAGGGCTCCTTCCGCCTTTAGTGTTGGTGTATCAATAGCAAAGTTTCTCAGAAATAAATTATCTGATTTTGCTCTCATTCTTGAAAGATAAAGTTTCTAGATGGACAGCTCTAGGTTGACAGGTATTTTCTCCCAACAATTTGAAAATTTTATTCTACTGAATGCTGGCTTCCATTGTTAATGTTAATCCCTTCCTGTCAATCTAATTGTCATTCCTTTATAGATCTCTGACTACTGTGTGTCAGAATTAAGACCCTCTTTGTCTTTGGTGTTCTATAATTTCACTATGAAATATCCAGTTGGGTTTTTGTGTTTTTAGTTCTGCTTGGTTGACAGTGTGCATCCACTGGCAGATTCATGTCTTCCATCCTGAAAAGTTCTCAGCCATTATCTTTTCAATTTTCCTCTGCTCTGTTCTCTTTCTGGAACTCTGAATATCTGTTAGACTTCTGAAAATATTTTAGAGCTGTATGTTATAAAGCTTACTCATTGTAGCCCTCAATCTCTCTTTCACATTCCTGTTTTTTTGTCTCAGCCTTTGCTACATTTTGTGTCCTTTCTTCAGATATATCTTCCAGTTCCTTAATTCTCCACAGCTTTTTAAGGTATCTGATTGCCTGTTTAATCCATCTGCACAGTTACCCTCAGGTTCGGATTGACATCAGCTTATAGAACACTATAGGGCTAACCCAGCTGCAACTTAATTTAGCTTTATGAAGAGTATGGGACCGGAAGCACAGCATGTATGGCCAAGGCATTCTCATCAAGAGGCCTTGCAACAAGCCCAGGCACAACGTCTAGGCCTCACCACCACATGGCACACTTAGTTGTAAGAGAAGAGGCTGATAAGGGAGTGACCACTTTAGCACAGAAAACCTAATAGTTTATTCAGTCCTGGTAATATAATACCTCAAGGTCTGAAATGCCAGGCCCATAATCCTCTCAGTCTAGATGCAGTCTTTAAATTAGGAGATTCATCATATAATGGCGTTCTGATAAAACAAAAAAACCTGTTGCCATCAATTCAATTCTGACTCATAGTGACTTTATAGGACAGAGTAGAATTGCCCCATAAGGTTTCCAAGGCTGTAATCTTTAAGGTCACAGACTGCCACATCTTATTCCCTCGGAGTGGCTGATGGGTTTGAACTGCCGACCTTCCAGTTAGCAGCTGAGCACTTACCCACTGCACCACCAGACATTTGCCCCTCAGAGCACTTTGGCCTTTTAAGAGGGCTTACACAAGGCTCTCAGGACTTTTTTTCTTCTTTCTTTCGTTCTGGGGCTTTTTTGTTTTGTTCATGGTTTGTTGCCCTTGTGAATCTTTCCCTACACTAAGAGCCTGAGTAATAGAACAAAAACTGTTTTATGCAGGATATTTGTTTTGTCCTTTCAGAGTATCTAGTCAGTTATAGTCTCTAGATTGATATTTAAGTACTAAACTTGAAAGAGAGTCCTAAATGTAAATAATGCATTCTAAATATTCACCTGCACATATGTTCTTCATTTGCTACTCACTTTTCTTCCAGAATTACACAGGAATCTACTTTTACTTTTGCTGTATGCCGCACTCTTCAGAAACTTGATACTATACACAGGGAGGTCTTTCAGCAGATTTATAGTTGTCAAATAATTTTACTGATATTTATTACCATGTTTAGAAATAAAGAAGAAAATGTCAAAAATGATATTTAGATCATTTGCCACCATCCACATTCTTCCCCTACTACCATTTAGAATGACTCAGTTGAAGGAATTACATTTAATTATGACATAATTTGCCAAAGTGATTTTAATTTAGAGGCCTTAGGAAAAAGTTAATGCTATTCAAACAAAGAGTTGAAATAAGTTGTTTTTCTTTTGCAGAGTATTGCTGTTTAGATGCAAACTGGGTGTATTGCAGTATACAGTTGTCAGACCATTCACCACCATCGTTGCTTTGTAAGTATACACAATTTAAATTACCATTTTTTAAAAAAATCCTCATACTGTTATGTTTACTTACGTGGGAACAACTGAGTAGGAACACATATAAAGAACATAATTTACTTATTTATGATACAGGTCTAGTCTACTGTAAAAAACACAGCGTATAGACATCCTATCTATTAAAATAAATAAGGTGACCATTTATAGGCAAAGAATCACCACAGGGCTCTTTTAAATAACATACTGTCTAGAACTTTAAAATGCTTTCATGTGCAAATGTTAAGGTTCACACAGCTGTATAGAAACATCTGTTGCATGAAGTTAAAGTATGCTGCTTTAGGTTTAAGTACACAATTTTATCTTCTGTACAGTTAATTTAGAAATATATTATGAGCACTATACTCTAAGAAAGAATTCATGTTTTTCTTTTTAAAAAATTGTCAAGGCTTAGGACTTAAGGTAAAATGGGGTATCATTAAGCTACATGGCAAAAGTATTTCCTAAAAATTCAAGAACATCAAGTAATTTAAAGCAGGTAGGTTGCATGTTTTGTCTCCTAGTCATAACTAACCTGCATGTTTACAGAGGAAGAGTAGAAGGAAAGATAGGTGAAGGAAGCCTTCAGTTCTTTGTTCTGTCTTTGAGCTAGCAATTAGTTAGCCTTAGAGTCAGCAGCTATTTGCCTCAGAACTAAGACTAATTCACTTCTTTAGGAAGACATGCTTTATTTCTCTGTAGTTTAGAAATCAGATAAATTAATACTGATGGTAATACCTACTTAGGTGGATCTGGATCTTTGTAAAATTGACCTCTGAAAGAGTTTAGGGGGAAGAATTACAGCTACAGTTATAGACCTGCATTATATGTTTATAATAATCAAACTTTTCAAAATTAGGCAGCATAATTTTAAAAAATCTATTAATTACCCTTCTGGTGCAATGTATGTGTCTTATTTCAGATTTCCTGCAAGTTGGAATAATACTATGGTAACATTTCTAGAAAAAATTATTTCGGTAATTTTTGAATCATCTCTATGACCAAAATGAAGTGGTTACTAAAGGATCTTTCAGGTGAAACTACTTCTGAATTTAAGTATTGCTGTCCATGCTATATTCAAAATCCATTTTGATTTGGTTAATCATAAAGTAAAGGAGCCCTGGTTGTGCAGTGGTTAGGCACTTGGCTGCTAACCGTAACATCAGCAGTTCAAACCCACCAGCTGCTCCTCGGGAGAAAGATGTGGCCATCTGTTCCTGTAAACATCTCAGCTTAGGAAACCCTATGGGGCAGTTCTTCTTTGCCCTATGGCATAGAGTTGCTGTAAGTCAGAACTGACTCAACGCCATACAACAATCATAAAGTTGTCTAATTTCTACATATTTTTTTAGAATCTGTGAGCTGCTTGGTATATATGATGAAGGAAACTTTAGCTTTTCAAATGCTTGGACTTACTTGGTTATAATAAACAATATGTCACAATTGGTGAGTAAATATTCATATTTCTTCATTGTACTAAATTAGTATTTGTAACTCTGAATTTTCTTAGGGAAAGTTCTTGGAATAAAGCTTAATTGTTAGTTTTTTAATCTTGAAATTTGATTATAGGAAGAATTTGAAGAAACTTTGTATCTTTATACATATATAAAGATATAATAATATCTTTGTTAATTATTTGGTGACTTAGACCTTGACCTGTTGGTCATTCTTGTTTATTTCTGGTACTCATTGCAGTTGTGTGGGTGTATCATGAATAAAAGTAAAACTTACTACAAAAAAGAGGGAGAGAGAAAACCGCATATCCTGGGCATATTCAATACGAGAAAATGTCTAATTGATACATGACAGTACAAGGTTTGAACAAAAGAAACTTTTTTTTGGTTCCATTCATTTGAGATTAAAGAAAAATTGAGAATGATAAGTTTTTTTTTTAAAAAAGTTCTACAAACTGTAATTCTCTAAAGGTATAACTATCTGATCTCATCAATTTAAGAATATGCATTTTCTTTAAAAACTTTAGTTAGTGCTTTCAACAAAATGATAGTTTAGATGTAATGGCATGCATGTTTGGTATTAGAGCTTTATAAAGTTCTCACACATGGATTCCATTTCTGCAAATGTACCCTAAAGAAATGGTCAGAAATACTAAATGAGCAGCTCCTGTCCAGAGGTGAAATGAGAAGGCAGAGAGGGTCAGGAACTGGTTGAATGGACACGGGAAATCAGGGGTGGAAAGGAGGAGTGTGCTGTCATAGTATAGGAAGAGCAGTTAGGGTCACGTAACAATGTATGTATAAATTTTTGTATGAGAGACTAACTTGAATTGTAAACTCACTTAAAATACAATAAAATAATTTTAAAAAATGATCAGAAATACTTTTGCTTTATCTTTGTATAAAAACAAACAAAAAAACTGCCATCAAGTCAATTCCGACTCATAGAGACCCTATAGGACAGAGTAGGACTGCCCCATAGGGTTTCCAAGGAGCAGCTGGTGGATTTGAACTCCCAACTTTTTGGTTAGCAGCTGAGCCCTTAATCACTGCACCACCAGAGCTCCTATCTTTGCATACAAAGCCTATTTTTATAATAGCATAAAGCCGGAAATGTCCAAAAGCTCAGTGATGGGAACAAGTTAAATATGTTGGGGCCCTTCCACTAGCCAAAATATTATGCAGTTATTAAGAATAACCATTATGAAACAGAAGGAACAGTAAAGTACTTCAAGGGGAAAAAATCAGGCAACAAAATTATGTATTCAGTTGATGATAGCTGTTAAAAATAGGACAGTTTCTGTGTAAAAAGGAATGATTGGATGGTGGGACTATGATAACTTTATCCTTTCTTCTTTATATTCTAAAATATTTTAAAAGAGCATTTTACATGATTTTAATGGAATAAACTTAGAAAAATGCTTATTGCTATTCAAGACTATACTACGTTATTAGAAGTGATTTCTAAAAATAATTTATGTCTCAAGTATTTATCTTAAAAAGTAAATTCAGCTGGACTAGCATACTGCCCTCAAGAAAAATATTTCCAGTCTTTCAGATTTCATGATCATAAATTTTATTGAAATTGTACTTAATTTAGTGTGTCTCCTTATGTAATGTTGAGTAAGATAGACTCATTAATAAGCTAAACCATTGTAAAATAGTAGTAATTCGTGTATAAAAACCATTACTAAGCAGTTAGATATTTTGGTTGAAAGGGAGCCTTCCATTAATAGCAATCACTTACTCATTGGTTTCTTTGGCTGTAGTAGGTGAACACTTAAAAACATTTTTAGGGATTTATTAATATGTTACAGAACATCTCTACTGAGAAATTTCATGTAGTATATAGTCATCCACTGTAAACTACAAAAATGTATTGCTAATCTAAAAAATAGCGCAATAATGCCTAGAAAAATGTGCCTGTACAGTGCTCTGTATCATGTATTTCTATTACCATATTTAGTTAATATTATTGAAGAAGTTTAAATGTTAATCTTAATTGTTTCTAGTTTGCCATGTATTGTCTCCTGCTATTTTATAAAGTACTAAAGGAAGAACTGAGTCCAATCCAACCTGTTGGCAAATTTCTGTGTGTAAAGCTGGTAGTCTTTGTTTCTTTTTGGTAAGTGTTGCTTTCTCTTAAATATTCTCATTTTTTGACAGGCAATAAAACGTTTATTAGGGAGGATTTTTAAAATAATGTCTCTAAAAAGCCAGTTGCCATTGAACGATTCCAGCTTATGGCAACCCCATGTGCATCAGAGTAGAATTGTGCTCCATAGGTTTTCAGTGGCTGATGTTTTTGGAAGTAGATTGCCAGATCTTTCTGCTGAGGCACCTCTGGGTGGATTCAAACCGTCAGCCTTTCTGTTAGCAGCAGAGCGTATTAACCATTTGCACCACCCAGGGACTCCAAAATGTTTACTTGCCTTTCAAAAAGTTTATCCCTTTAACCCGTCTAGGTTCTGTTCATAGGTAAAAATGTTTTTTAAAACTATACATGGTCGCTGTTTAGTAAAGGGGGTGGGAGTGCCAGAAACAAATGCACCAAATGTATTAAAAAGCAATAATACAAAAAGGATAAAAAGAAAAATCTCTGAAATCCCACCACCCAGAAAGAATGATTAGCATTTCAGAGTACACATCATATATAAAACTCAACAGAAATGGTTTCATACTATAAAAACTTGTGTAATCAATAATACGTTCGGTGTACTGTGGGTATAGTTCTTCGTCAGTAAAGAGAGAATATAATTTGGGGAGGGGGTTTTGTTTGCTTAATATTCTGTTGTGTGGATATAGCTTTGTAACCAATCTCCTATTGACGCTGAGGTTGTTCCTAATTTTTTTCATCATTACCAGCAACATTGAAGTGTATTATATATATTGAACTGTGAAGTTCGTCTTCCTATCTCACTGTTTACTGTTTAAATTGAACCTGGAATTATATCCCTAGATTTACTTGAAATGTTTCAGCATGACTCCTTATCATGGAATTAGACCCCTTCTTGGTTTGTCTCTAGATTCAGTACCTCAAACAAGACTGGTTTCAAAATGCTGTCTTAAAAAATAATCTGAATAGTCAGTTACTACACGTGTAAACAACCTCTGATTATCTGTCCTTTATTTCATTTGAAATATCTATTGTACCAGATATTAGGCATTGTCTATGTATAAGAAAAAACTTATAGTCTAATGACTTGTGCATACTTTCAAAGCAAAAAAAGATGTTCTTAGAATACGTAATCAAAATTCATCTGATGAAACTGTACTAGAAGAGTAAATTTGCAAAACAAATGTATTTACTGTAGATACCAGTCTCCTCACAAAAAGAATGTGCCAAATTTCTAAATGCTGTGAAGGCAGGGTGGTAGTGGTGCTGGCCCACAGGTTGCACAGGGGTTTAACTTTTTAAAATGACGTATCTTTAAAACAAATGCTAATTTTATGCTTGATACAGATTTAGCATTTACCTTTTCCTAACATATAGGCAAGCAGTAGTTATTGCTTTGTTGGTAAAAGTTGGCGTTATCTCTGAAAAGCATACATGGGAATGGCAAACTGTAGAAGCTGTGGCTACAGGACTTCAGGTAAGTAGTGCTATCTTTGAACTCTATAGAACTTTACTATTTGTTAAGCAATTTAACATGTTATTTCTGACAACATGTTGGCCCGTGGGGCTACTATTATCCTCACTTTATGAGGAAACAGGAGACCTAGAGAAGTTGGTCATAATAACAATCTGTAGCAGAGCCAGGAGTAGAACCTGGATTTTGTTATTCCTAAATCCATTTCTATTTCTGCATTTCTCTTTTTAGTCCTTGGGCAGTGTGTTGAGAATGCAATGCATTGTACTTTGCTAAGTAGTACTGGATTGAGGTAGTACAGATACATTTAGATTTTGGTATTTTATCTTGTTTTTTTTTTTTTTCTTTTTTTTTGAAGACATAAAAAGTAATTACTTGGGGAAAATTTTGAGAAAATGAATGTAATCTGAAAAACAAGCTGTTGATACTTAAGTATTTTTGAAAAGGGATAAAGAAAGAGCTTTTCCTATACCTAGAAAACCAGATTTAAACCCAAAGATGGCTAATGTTGTTGTTGTTGTTTTAGGACTTTATCATCTGTATTGAGATGTTCCTTGCTGCTATTGCTCATCACTACACTTTCTCATATAAACCATACGTCCAAGAAGCAGAAGAAGGCTCATGCTTTGATTCTTTTCTTGCCATGTGGGATGTTTCAGATATTAGAGATGATATTTCTGAACAAGTAAGACATGTTGGTAAGTACCAACCATTTAATTCATCCAGATAGGTAGATTATTGTATTTCTCTTAATAAAGTAATTTAGTAGCTATTTAAGAGATGAAACGACTTTTGTTTAACACAGTACCATGGTTTCTTCAAATTAGGGGTGGAAGGTGAGCTTATTTATAGAACAGTGGTGAGTTTTTAATGGCAAAAATAATTGACTAACTGGAAACCTTTATATTACTTTAAAGGAAGGACAGTCATGGGACATCCTAGGAAAAAATTTTTTCCTGAGGATCAAGATCAGAATGAACATACAAGCTTATTATCGTCGTCATCACAAGATGCAATTTCCGTTGCTTCTTCTATGCCACCTTCACCCATGGGTCACTACCAAGGGTTTGGACACACTGTGACCCCCCAGACTACACCTACTGCAGCTACGATACCTGATGAAATGTTTAATGACACTACAGGAGAGAAAAAAGAACTCTCAGATAAATTTGTGGCCTCTTGAACAATGTGTACAAGCAAACTGTGCTACTACCATGCTATTTCATTACCTGGTATCCCATTGCTCAGGATTTTGTGCTTGGGACAAGCCATAAATGATGGAAAATTTCAGCATGAAGATAGGTGAAAGCCAGGTACAACTACTGAACTTACATAATTATGTTTTGTGTATCAGTCTAAATTTCCTAGACTTAGACTTGATTTCTTGACAACAGATATTACATACTCACATGGTAGACAATAACTCCAACTAAATGTTCCTGATGTTACACTGCTTTATCATGGGGATGGACAGAAAAGTCTCAATGCTTTCTACCACTGCTGCATGAATATAACGCTTTGGAATTAGCAGAAGGCTAATTCAGAAACATGAATTAGTGGAACTTAATCATAATCATGTGCCATAAAAGCTAACAATTATTTCTCTATTTCTCAACTGGATGTCTTTCAATAAATAAGAATTTATCATTTATTTTCTGTAACCTTTTATGTCTCTCATTCTTTAAAACAAAAACCCTTAATGTTTTAACCAAAATTTCTTGATTAGAGGCACAGGAAAAAGAAGTTAAAAAGGGGGGAGAAGGATTTAAAAGTTATATAACTATGATAAAATTCACCATATCTTATATTCATTCCTATTAGGAGAAATATCTAGGCGCTAACACCTAAGCACCTAAAAATCATATTTGCAACACTGCTAATAAGACTAATAGATTATCCATAGCTTTGAGATGAAAAGAATAAACTGGATAGAAGACCAAAAGAATAATAAACCTGTGCTAGAAATGTCATCTATTTTTACTCGGTACTATTAAAGATGGCAACAAACATAAATCTTGGCTGAGTGTTCTTGTTCTTAATTCTTTGTAATTATTAAACCACAGCCAGAAGACATAGTTGCTATCTGGAAGAAAATTATTACTCAAGATGGTGTTTCTTTAATTTACTGATCATTGGATCATGCTTAACATAATGAAACTATAGAAAGTACCAGAGAAGTTATGTCACCAATATCAAGGATAAGTATTGCTTCTCAAAGCTTTTCCTTTATATGTTTACACACACACACACACACTTGGTTCACAATAATTAAGGTACAAAATCTTTATTCTGTCTACTCATTATAAACTAAACATTTCTATTAAAAGTAAAGCTGCGTAATATAATATTGGAGGTCATGAAGACTAGACAGTCTGGAGAGAAGGTACGTCTTCATTTTCTTTGTGGCTTACTTAAGAGCACACAGCGTATTATACAAGGCATCTTCCTTATTAATCACCTTATTTTGAAAGTCTATAAAAACTGGACCAATTATAGCAAATAAATAAAAAGGATTAACTCATTTTTTAATTTAATTTTGTTTTGTCATCAGCTTCTTCAAAGGAGACCAGGTAAATGCTGCTTCCTGGAAGATTTATTTCTTCACTAACTCCTTGAACTCTCTCAGTTACATTTAGCTTATAGCTTAAATTCTTATTCAGGTTTGCATTCCCCAAACACAAAACCTGAGGAGGTATCTCAGAAGTATACTGTGTATTAAAAGGAAGCAAGCTTACAATTTACAAGTAAGCCTTGTCTTCAGTGGAAGCCTACTTTTTGATGTTTCCCAATTATAAATTTGGATTTCAGAAAAAAAAGCCAAGATGCCTAAAAAAAATGAAAGTTTTGCTTTACTTACTGATACATGACAATGAGGGTAAGACTATAAAAATCCCTTATCTTTATGGCTTCAGAGTGTAAAGACAAGTGTTTAGCAGAATTTAATCTACAGTAAAAATCAAGTAATAAAAATGAAAAAAAGAAGTTTCTTAATTTGAAGAACAAATAATGACAAATCCTTTTCCAAAAAGTATGTCTGTAGCAATATCTTTATAATAATGCTGTTCTTTAATCTAGGATCTTTTAAGTAAGTTTTACTAATGTCAATTTTAAAAAGTACATGACTGTTACAAGGCATTAAATTTTTATACCTCATTTTATGATTACAACTCCATTAATTCAGGCCATGAAAATTTTTATTTGCTGCTCTACCTAAAGAGTTTTCATTCATTGCTTTACTGTGATGCTGACATTACTTTTGTGGTGCTGGACGCTGAGTACAAGTTCTTCTCCCATTTCAACCTGGATTGGATTATCTAAAACAACTGCAGCTTGTTTCCAGTGAGAGGCTTCACTTGACGTATCCAACCTAATCTCTTCGTCAAGATACACATGATACCAAAATGGAATGGCAGTCACTTGTCCAGACTTACAAATGTGTACCTATGAAAATTAAGAAATCATGAAACTAGAAAAATTTTATCAGGGTAAACAGAGTAGACCTGGATAATTAAGTCTTCTCTCCTTTAGTCACTTTCAGATACAAAATTTTAGAAAGCCATACAATTAATCACCTGATTCAAATTAATACCAACCTATTTTTTAAATATTCACTAATATTTACTCAAGTCCATTTTTGTATTTCCTATTTTTGTCCAGGAAATAACATTTATAATCTTCAAAGACAGTGGCTAAAACCTAAAACCTTTGTATAAAATGTCCCCTAGTTCACGATAATTATTCTGAGTATAACAAGAGTAATCATTTTGCATGTTGTCCTTACCTTTACTTCTCTGCTGGAGGTGTTCAAATACGGAGTCATTAAATCTAGTCTTAACAGTTCCACAGGCTTGCTTAAAGGAATACAGGGCAGTGAGGACAGGTCCAAAAATACACGTATAGGTACCTAGAGAAAGTAAAATTTTTTGCTGTTATTCATTCTAAGGCTTATTAAAGCACTTAAAAAGTGCTTGCTTTATACTTGAGCTTTTTGTATCTATTACCTCATTTAATTCCCACATCAACCTTAAGGCAGAAGAATGTCCATTCCAGTGTTACAGGACGGATGAACACACCAAGGTTTAAGCAGGTTAAGTAATTTGCCATGGCCTCAGTTACCCATAGATCCTTCACTTGGATGAAAGCAGTTTAAATTTTTACTTAAACCAAATAGTACCAAAATTTTAAAACTAAGGATTTGCTTATGTGTGGAAAAATGAACTAAGCAAAGAGTACAACATTAATTATTGAATTTTTGAAGAAAAGCTGCCAAATTCAGCCAAATAACATCATAGTGGATTTTACTTGGAAAGTAAGCTTATTTCTAGATGACAGTGGTTCTCAGCCTTGACTACCTAATAAAATCATCTGGGGGGCTTTTAAAAAGCCCAGCGCTCAGGCCATACCCCACACCAATCTGGAGTTGGGATCCAGTATTTCTAAAAGTCCACAGATATCTCCGATATACAGTCAAAAAGTTGAAAATCACTGCTATAAAGTGTTCCATCAATTTCAGCAGCAATGGAAACTTACTAGTAATAACTTTTAGCCTTCTGTTTCCTCTCTAAGATATTAGAGGCCAACTTTCATGATGACACAGGGCATAGATAAATCCTCTCCCTAGGCATCCTTGAAGGCATCCAACCTTCCCTACCCATAAGGACTCAGTGACCTCACACCATCTCCAGGACTCCTCCTTATGCCCTTTATTCCTATTTATGTCAGTCACCAGAAGAAGCCCTAGACGCATGTCACCTCTCACAGTCTACGCTCTAGTCCCCACACAGCTCTACCAATCCCTAATGGTCTGGCTCCACCTCTCTGACTTCTCAGCCTAGCCTACAGCCTACTCCTGCCATCTCTGCTGATTTCTTCTCTGTTCCCAACCTCTTTGTGAGTTCTCTAAAGCTCAATGCTCAGCCATCTTCTCTTTCTACATACCCTCAAGATGGTTTCATCCAGTCTTATGGCTTTAAATACCATCTATATGCTACTGACTGTCAAATTTATCCCTCTGCCCTGTCACACACACAACACAACCTGATCCTGATATTTTCCCCTTATCAGTAAATAGTAACTATGCTTCCAAGTTAGACCCAAAAAACAAGAGATCTTCTTTCTCATACCCCATATCCAAAAAGTGACAGAATCCCTTGGCTATTCTAACCCCTAGGTTGATTTTAATCATAAGTTCCTTTGCTCTAGGAGACTGATTACCATCCTAACCTACCTAAACAACAGTGACTGGACAGAACTAAAGATAAGGTAGACTGTGGATAACAGTCACCTGGTTGAAGTTTCTTCTAGACAGTTACCTGAAACTGGTTAATGAAAGGTGCTATATTTACTCCAAGAGTACGTTCTGTTCCTTGAACAGCACTCTCTTCTACCAGTATCTGTGATTCCACAAGTAACCCCAACATCACCACATACTGAGGAAAGATCTTGCCTCCAGATTGCAGTAAACACCTAGAGAAAGAAAAATGTTTAAGAACATTTTGATTCCCTACATTTTATAAATACCAATAATTAAGCGCCATGATGAATGAGTGAACTACAGACTGTATACAAACAGTCTAACGAACTTTGAGTTATTGGCTGCTACCTCAGAATGGTAAACCACAGCAAATAATTTTTCAACAAGTCAAACTTAAAGTGACTGCTGATCTATGGAAGAGAAAAATAACCAAACTGCTCGATAAATATAAGTCTTTAGATTCAGGCAAGAGTCATCAATGGATGCTAAAACTAGTGGATGAAAGTTTGATGAGGAAGAGAATATTTTCATAGCTTCAGTATCACTCCATAAATGACTTATTTATTACAAAGGGAAAAAAGTAACTTACTGTGAAGAAACCTGCCGGATACAACTTGAACGATCAAAAGTTAACATCACCAATAATATGACAAAGTTAACTATGTGCCTCCTAAATGTGATAAAACATACTTGGAACTCCTCTCTAAAATGGATCATCTGAATCTAATAAAAAAAAAATTTTACAAAATAAATGGCCTATACTCTGTTAATGTCATGAAAGACTAAAGAACTGTTTCAGAACAATGCAAGCTAGAGACAAGAAAACTAAATGTAATGTGTGATCCTGGAATGGATTCTGAAGTGGGGGGCGAGGGGGATAAAGGACATTGGGACAACTGGGGAAATCTGAGTAAAGTCTGTAGATTAGAAAACAGTATTGTATCCATGTAAATTTCCTGATTTTGATAAATGTACTGTGGTTATGTAAGTGAATGTCCTTGTGCTCAGGAAATACACACCAAAGTATTTAGGCATAAAGGGGCATGACATCTGGAACTTTCACGTGATTCAGAGAGAACTACAGCAAATGTGGTAAAATATTAATTTGTGAATCTGGGTATAGGGTATATGATAAATTCTTTGTACTATTCTTTAACTTATCTGTAAGCTTTTTTTTTTTTTTTTTAATTAAACATTCTGAAAGAAAAAAAAAGTATTTAAATCCAAATGTTCTAGAAAGGAATGTGAGCAAAGGTTTAACAAAACTCTCCCCCTACATGGGAAATTGACCTTGGGTTCATCAGTTTCCCTGGAAACCCAATAAAAATGGAATGTCAACTGTATTATCAGCAACACTGCTTATGGTAAAAAATGCCTGTTAATAGACTGTATCTGGACTGAAAGAACTATGAATAAACTATAAATACCTGATGGGAAGTTATACCTTTAGGCTTCCCTGAGTGTGGTGTAACTCATAACCAAGTATTCCTATTGCTGGGACTAGATAGCTATGTTCATGGGAGACAGTTCCTATATGAAGCTTATGGCTTATAAACCAAGTCAGCTTCCACACCCACCTATGTAATCTTGTTTCCTCACACTTGAACTGTGTGTGGGGGGGGAGGGGGATGTTAAAAGGGGAGGAAGACAAAAATAGTTCCCGGATAGCTGTGAGGACTCCTGCTTAAAAAAACACACCTGACACTGCCCCAAGGCATGGTGCTTCTTGTCCCGTATCATTGTAAGGGAATGCCCGGTGTGGCTTATCTAGTTTGACTATCCAGTTGAACCCAAGCTTTGGCTTCACATTTAGCTTACTGTATAAAGAATAAAGACTCATGAACCACAAACCAATAGAATGTATATATCTCACTGTATTTGTATATTTTTGTTTTTTAAATAAATAAAAGCAGGGTTACCATCTCCACTGAAAATCCTTAAAACAGGATCAGCAATTCTGTAAAACTTAATTGATTCAAGATGGCAGACTGACCAATGCAACTGTGTTCTTCCTACCATCCTGCCCCATTAAATGATAATAAAAGAGTAAGAAAATAATGAGATGGTCCCCAGAGGAGTTAGGAGTGGGGTCTGATGAAGCAAAGCAGCAGAAATGCAATATAGAAAATGAACATACAGGACTAGAACAGGAGGGAAGGAGGAGTCAGTCTGCCCTGCAGAATCCTAAAGAGGCTCAGGACTCAGAAATACCAGGTAAAAGACCACCAGGTAGAATATGATACATGATAGGATACAAGAAGAGCTGAAAACAGGAGAATTAAATCAAACACTATAAAGAACACATAAATCAATAACCTAGACAAACTATCGGCCAGCCAGACACCTTAACTTAGCTAAACAAACTCTCAGGAAAACAAGAACAGCTACTGCCGGCTGCAAATGCCCAGAGCAAAGAACACCACCCATACATTCTAGCACTCAGGAGACATGAGTAGCCGGCTCGTGGCTATTTAGAAAGCCCTTCAATTGACAAGTCTTACCCAGGTGCACAGAAAGCTCTCAATCAGTTCTTCACTGTCTCATTCTTAAATGCAGTGGGAAGAGAATATGTTTAAAATTCTGATTACTGTCCTTAGAACAATCTGAGACATTACTGCATCCATAAAATCAGAACAGAGTTACAACAGGGTGCTATAAAAAAATATCAGAAGAAAGGGCTCTTAGAAATTAAAAATACAATTGCTGAAATAAAAATACCTAAGGAGTGAAAAGATAAAGCTGAAGAAATCACTCAAAAAGTAAAATATAAAAATGGAAAATAGGAGCAAAAAGATAAGAGATATGGGGGATCATTCCAGCAAGTCCAGTATCTGACTAATAAGAGCTAGAAAAGCTGACTAGAAAAACAATAAGGAAGAAATTAACCAAGAAATAATATAAAAGAATTTCCCAGACACTGTCTCCAGAGTAAAAGGGTCCAAAACAAAATGAATCACTTGGGGAAACAAAAAAAAAAAAACCTCATAGGCCACTTATGAAGGAGCATGAATTAACAACACTGAAGAGTAGAAGATAACAAAGCAATGTGTTCAGAATGCTGAGCTAAAAGACATTCTACCTAAAATTCTACAATCAAACCTTCATCTAAAATGCAATTAAAAAAATTCTACAATCAGCCAAACTTACAAATTAAGTCATTTTCAAATATGAAAAAGTTCAGAAAGTTTACCTCTACATCATTTTTAAGACGGTATTTGAAGATCTGCTTCAGTAGAACTAAGAATAAACCAATTATCAGAGAGTAAATTGAGGGCACTGGTAAGGAAAAGCAGACTAGAACAGTCTAATTCATTGGCTACATACACCCAAGGAGGAGGATCTTGCTAATGATCTCATATTTGTTATTATGAAAAACAAAAATACTTTCAACTAACTAGGACCTAAAATTGGTCATGTGATCCCTTAAACAATCTGCAGGCTAGGAAAAGCCTACAGTTCAAGTAAGCTCTGCACCCCAAACCTGCTATTCAGAGGCTAGACGGTTCCATGTAAGGAAGAACTGTCCCACCCAAACTGCCAACAGGACCTCTGCCCACACCCATTGAGAAACACTGGAAAGGAAAGTTAGAGATAGCCTTCATATAGGTTGGAAACCCTGGTGGCGTAGTGGTTAAGAGCTATGGCTGCTAACCAAAAGGTCGGCAGTTGGAATCCACCAGCTGCTCCTTGAAAATCGTTATGGGGCAGTTCTACTCTGTCCTATAGGGTCACTATGAGTCGGAATCGACTTGACAGCAACAAGTTTTTTCATATAAGTTGCATTTCCCAGTAATATAATCAATCATTCAGAGAGAACAGACTGTTTGACAAATTGTTTTTAAAACCAAAAATGCTTTTCAAAAATCCTTTACAAGGTTCCATTTAAATAAAATTTTTTAAAAAGTAGATACTAATTTTTTTGCCAAACATAGCAAATTTACAAATTCATTTGTCATCCTTCTCAGTAGTCAAACTGAAACTACCAAAAATAAAACAAGGCTCCCACATAGCCCATTATTCAGAACATGTAAATGCCTCTTTGATACTAAATTACGTTTCAAACAGAAGAATCAACTTCCTTACTTTTTAATTTACCTAATTTTTAATGAAAAATTAATTACCAAATTGGAATAATGACCTTATCATTAAAAGGCCTCAACATAACTTTGCACTGTATACAAAAATTAAACCACCTTTTGCCACCATGTTTAGTCAATGTGTCATTATAAAGACAATTTTAAAAACAGACCTAAAAAAAAAAAACCACTAGATTTTGATCACTAGATCAAAACTCATCTAATTACACACTTAATATTTAGGCATTCCACAGTATGAAAATTACATATTAAAAAAAAAAAACTATAAATCATTATTAACCTATAATTAGTAGGTTTGACTTCCACAGTGGTATGAGTTAGCAATTCTACAACTATTTTATATGCATTCTAGGCATGACCAGATAAGTAAATATACTGATGTCAGTGGGAGTCAAGTTTTCACTGTTAGAGAAAGGGAATGACATATCTGAAAAGGGGGAAAACTAGAATGTACCCTATGGTGGTGGATTGGAACTGAGGTATCAGTATGAACTCATACTTTTACATAGTAGATAGAAAGATATAAAATTCAGATACAGATATAGGTGTATATACAGATATAGGCATATAAGCATATGAATGTGCATTTGTAACGTATATGGATCTATGAACACGTATGTGCATGCGCATAAATACACATACACAAATACACACAATTTCCAAACTTTGTCAGCCGAGAAGGCCTAGAAATAATGCTGCACCAGTAGCAATGAGCACATCTACCAAGAAGATCTTGGTTTCAAAATATAGTTCCCCACTAAATGGAACCAGGGCTCCTTGGAGAAAGACCAATTTCAAGGCTGCGGCAGAGAAAAGATGAGTTTAGAAAACCTGGTTGAGCCAAAAGTAAGAACATGCTCAAAGAATGATGAGAACATATCAAAAAGATATAGGATCCACTTTGAAGTCGCTCCCACTGGCCAAAACTGGGACAATTTGAGCATCAAAATAAATATTGATAGTAATGGATTATAACCCATTGAATTAAAAAAGCCCATAACAATATAAATAAATTTCTGCAGCAGAAGAGAAAACTCTTCCTTATCATACATCAGAATGCTAAACAACAAATATAGAAAAAATGGAGTTACAAAATCATCAATAGAGGTTAAAATTAATGAATAAAGGTTTAATGAGGAATAGGATATTTACATAGCTCAAAATATTTCCCTACGAATGATATATTAACCACAAAGGAAAAGGAGGAAACTTAAGAGTGCAGAAACTTGACAAACACACGCTTAACCAAGTGATCTTAAAAATTAACATCACCAATAATAAAACAAATAGATCTTGTGTGCCTTCTGATACAATGCACTAAGAACACAACATGAAGACATCAGACAAATTCCAATGGAGGGCCATTAGACAAAATAACGAAACTGCACTCTTCAAAAATGTCAATGTCATAAAAGACAACCAAAGAATTATTCCAGATTAATTAACTAAAGAGACCTGATAACTAAATGCAGTGCATGATCCTGCATTTGAACCTGCACTAGGAATGAAAGAGCTTTCTAAAAGATAATATTGGATCAAAAGATAAAATTTATGTATGAGCTGTGGATTAGATAAAAGTATTATTATTAGCTAATAATATTAGATATTAATTTCTTAGTTTTGTTCTTTGTACTGTGGTTATATAAGAGAATATCTTTGTTTTTAGGAAATACACACTGAAGTATTTAGTGGTAAAGGGACATGATGGCTCTAACCTATTTTCAAAATAATTTTGTGTGTCTGTGTGTGTGTGTGTGTGTGTGTGTGCAAAGAGACAGAGGGGAAGAGAGAATGATAAAGCAAATGGGACAAAATGTAAACAATTGGTGAATATGAGTAAAAGTTACACAGGAGTACTTTATACTGTTCTTAACAAATTTAAAATTAAATAAAAATAAATCATTAGATAAGTGTACGGCTTTCCAAGATGACTCTACCAAATACATTAAATCTCATTTGTACCAGGAATTCATAACTGAAGTGCTTTCAAAAACAACTAATCCAGTATTCTCAATACAGATGAAGAAATCTGAGGATGAGGGACATTAAGTGACTTATGGAAAATTTTACTATTTCAGGAATTAAGTGACAAGACTTGAACTCTTCAAGCTCCTTGTTCTGTGCCGTCAAGAACATCTGTTTAAATTTTTATTATATATATTTAAGTCAAACCTTGCTACTCCCATAATTTACGACATGACAGGATTGTTTAAAAAAAATGGTGAAGGTTTCTATCAGTTACCACATAAATATATAAATTTCATAACAAAAGAAAATGAATTAACTATACAAACAAAATATTTTTTTCTGGTCTGGTCAAATGTGTTTTTTTCCCCAATGGATAATGTGCCTTTTGCTATTGTAATCTTCAGTCTGCATCCCCACCACTGTTCCTAGACAACAAACCAACCCCTGCTGCTATACCCCAAAATTTTTTATCCATAATACATTTCCTAAATCTGGGTCCCCAAATGTAAAATAGTGCCATCTTTTCAGATCTGAGCAGCATAACTGAAGGACTTTGGGGCTTAACCAAATTTGCTTTCAATATTAAATATTAGGGTCAAGTCTACCTCACGCAATCTAAACTGAAGAAGAAATACCTTTAGGAAGAGAACTATATTATAAAATGAAGATTTTTAGACTGAACAGAACTGGGAGCTGTTCCTAAGAAGCACTTTGCTCTCCCAATACACCATCAAATGCACACTTCATGTTTCTTACATTATAAGATGAAATCTGATTTTTCCTTCCTTACTCTGAATTTCTTCTTACTGTTTTTAATAGATCTCTACTTTTCCCTTATATATAGGTGGGCCAATCTTAAAACGGTCAGTTCTTCACATCTACCATTCAGGATTCCCTTGGAGGATAATCAGCAATGCACACACACAAACACACACACAGAGAAAGGGATGAGCTCACAGGTCCCGAACAGTGACACGTGAGGGACATATGATTATCTCAGTTTTACAGTAAGCCATTAAAGAACTAAAACAATGAACAAGTTTGAGCTCAAAAAAACCTCACCTGGATATTGCCGCTTTTTCCATTATTTCCTGCTGAATGAGCCCAGATGGTTCAATGACATCCAATATGATTATGCTCCACAACTTGTCTGATTTTGGCCTCTGCAACATAGCAGATTCATCCTCCACGTGTCTCAGCCAAAACTGAAGCATTTCTTTAGGAAAGTGATTGGCCTCGGAAATGAGGCCTAGAGTGATGCGATGCTGGTCTTTCTCCACAGAACTGTAAGGTTTAACTTGCCCCAGTGTGCCAGCAATTATAGGCAGAATAGAAAAGCCTTCAGACACATCTAACACATAGTAAGGGTCAGGGGCACTCAGTACAGAATTCTCCTTCTGTCCGCTTCCAGAGTTTATCTCATCACTCTGACACTGAGTATCCATATCCATGGCCTGCAACAGTTTCTCTGGAGTCAGTGAAGACAACACTTTCCTCATTGCCATTTTAAAGCCTTCATGATATGGGATATTATTAAGCAAAGCAATTTCCGTGGACTCCAATACACACATCTGCTCTACAGAATCTGGTTTGCTGGTCTGAAGGTTAGCCAGGGCACTACAGAGTTCAGCCTCATTTCCTAAAGACAGTGAATCTTTATTCTTGGTAAAACTTTTCACAACATCCATTTCATGTTCTGAACCCAAGACATGGATACCTTGGATTCTTAAGTAACAATCTTGACAAGACACTTCCATCATCACATGGTCCCCAGGCTTTATCCTGTAGTCTTCATTGAACAGTAAGAGCAAAATTAAAATTCTGATTAATAAAGAAGATACACTAACATGACCCGCTTTAAAAAATCATTACGGGAGGGGTTAATCTATTCATTTAATACACAAAAAAAACTAGGAAAATTCCAGCTGCTTTATTTAGGAAAAAACTCAACTTTGAAGATTTAATTAACTGGTAGCATAATACGGAGAATCGAGAGCTCCATTATTGGACCCATCTTTGGTAATAAAGCCAACAGAGATAAATTAAATTCAGGTATCAATACCAAACCTTACTTTAGATTAATGGGACATTTTTTTCTCTAAGAGAAATTTCCAAAAGAATAAAGCAGCACTCAGTAGAACCACAACAGTAATATTTCTTAACTACAAGTATTTAGATACTCCGGCATGTTTAAGAATTTGAAGGACTAAGTTCTATAATAAAGACTACAATGTGCTCTTTTCCAGGAACTTTTACACGTAATAACACTTTAAATTATAGATGTACAATCCAATTCCTCCTCATCAGACCTAGAAAGACAAAGACCTTTGAGAGTAATTATTACTACTACCTTAATTAATTTTATTAAGTGTTTGAAATATTTTCCAAAAAAAAATTGAAAATACAAATTGTTATTCTTGTGTTTAAATGTTTAAAATGTCCTTTCCCTAAAAAGATAAAAGGGGGTGGGGGGCATCTGTGTAAGTTACTATACCCCACCCCACTGCCCTTGAGTCAATGCCGACTCACAGCAATGCTATAGGACAGAGTAGAACTGCCCCATAGAGTTTCCAAGGCTGTAATCTTTATGGAATCAGACTGCCACATCTTTCTCTGGAATTAGACTGCCACATCTTTCTCCCATGGAGCAACTGGTGGGTTTGAACACCCGACCTTTTGGTTAGCAGCCGAGCACTTTAACCACTGTGCTACCAGGGCTCCTTGTAAGTTACTATAAGGGAGTTAAAAGTTAACAAACAGAAATAAAAAAAATACCATTTACTGAGTGCCAGCCATTACGGTAGGCACTTTACACCCATTACCTCTAATAATCCCCACAATCCTCCAACATAGACAGTATCATCCCGTTTTTTATAGATGACACAATAAATGCTCTGAGAAATAACCAGCTAAACTAGCCAGGGGGCCAGTAAGTAGCAGAATCAAGATATGAATCCAGATCTACCTGACTACAAAAACACCATACTAGCCACAACACTATACTGACTCCACAACTTAATGACCTTGCCAAATTAGGTACTTGACTAGGAGACTAACCTATTACCTTCCAGTTTTAAAGGGACAGTTTTTCAAATAGGAGCTTACAGATACTGACACTTCTTAGACATAAGCAATCACCTCACGGGATTAGTTTTCTGGAACACTTAGGGTCATAATCTCATGGGACAACACAGTCAACTAGTATAATATAGTTCATAAAGTTTATGTTCTACATCCTAGTTTGGTGCGTAGTGTGGGGGTCTTAAAATCTTGTGAGCAGCCATCTAAGATACAACTATTGGTCTCTATTCATCTGTAGCAAAAGAGAAAGAAGGAAATCCAAGAATCAAGGAACCGGACTACAGAACTGTCTCCACGAACCACAGCCTCCTCTACCCTGAGACCAGAAGAACTAGATGGTGCCCGGCTACCATTACCAAACATTCTGATCAGGGTCACAATAGATGGATCCTGAGAGAAACGGAGAAAAATGTGGAACAGAACTTCGAATTCTCAAAGAATCCAGACTTACTAGACTCAATGAGACTGGAGGAATCCCCAAGACTATTGTCCTGAGATGCTCTTTAAACCTTGTACCAAAACCACCCCCTGAAGTCACTTTTAACTAAACAGTAGGTTAGCTCAAAAAGTAAAGACTGTCACCCTTGAGTACTGAGCTCTTTTAAAAAATTATCTATATGAACCAAATGAACAAGTTAATCTAAAGCACGGGTAAGATGCTGGAGGGCAGTGAGACTAAGTTAATGGGAATGGAACAACTAAAACAGAAATGAAAATGTTGGCACAATGTGAAGAATGTAACTAATGTCACTGAACATTATGTGTAGAAACTGATGAATGGGAATCTGTTTTGCTGTGTATACTTTCACCAAAAATACAATAAAATAATAAAAAAAAAAAATGAAAGGACATAGCTGTGTCCCAATAAAATTCGGTTACAAAATAAAAAAGGACAGAGGTTTTCTATGCAATGCAACTCCTGTGAACTATACTGCTACCCATCAAACTACTAACAGGAAAACATCTCTTCAAAAAATATTTTAACATAGAACTTCCCTTGAAAGTCCACAGATCCACAGACTACTTAAAACTGTTTGTAAATTTTGTGCTTATGTGAGTATATGCATTTTTCTGCAATAGGACTCCACGGATGCCATCAGATTCTCTACGCGTAAGAACTCCACTATAAGTAATACTTTTCCAATGCTTTCCCATAAAAATTGTGCCAGCATTTCTATTTCTCTACATCTACTAATAACCCGAGTAATCAGAGCTGAAGAAATTTTTGAATGGTATGGAACAGAGTTGTGTCTGAGTCTCTCTTAACTAAATGTGTTAATTATTTAAAACTACTTTTGAATAAGAAAAATAACATTCTGAAATATTTAACCAACCTCCCTTAACCGGAAACTTCATATCAAAGTTTTATTTACTTATTTTTGCCGACTCAAATGTTTAGAGGATTAAAGCAACAAGTTTAAAAAAAAAAAGTTAGAAAAGATGTACCTGCAAGGTCCTGTACAGCGTAGACGGCCTGTTCCCAACATGTTTCCTCCCCAGGACTTGTAGATAAACTGTGTTCATCATCAAGCTGGAGTACAAACCAAACCACAATAGCATCTAGTATGCCTTCTTTAGTAACAGGAATATCAATCTTATCAGGTTTTTTAGTTGCAAGACTTTTTAATTCCTGATAGAAACATAAAAGGAATGAGAGGATTTCATACACTTAACATATACATGCCTCGGTATAGTATCACTCTCCATCTGTGTAAGTTCTCAGCCCTGCCCGGCCCCTTCAGGGGGAAGGAAAAAAAAAAAAAAAATCACCATCTTGGCACACCTGTAACCACTTAAGGCACAACAGACAGGAAGCTCTGATCTGTTATACGGAAATACTATTCAGCTATTAAAAAGGATGAGGCAGACACATATTACTGATGTGGAAAAAAGTCCATGATATAATGTGGAATGAAAAAGGCAAAGCAATAGGTATTGTTTTGTTTTCTAAAAGAAAAAAGTATGTTTGTATATTTTTACAGAAGCACAGAAAATACAGACTGGAAAGATAAACTTCAAACTAATGGGGGGGAGGGGACAAGATTTAAAAAGGGAAGAAAAATACCATGGCTTTTTCCTTTCTGTTCTTCTCCATTACTTGAATGTGTTAAAGCAGGCAGATATTACTTTCAAAGTTAAAAACCTTAATAAGGATTTTATTGTGGCAAAGAAAAATGAAAATAAGGGCTTAAAATAACAAAAGGAAAGCTTCTAGGTAATCAGCAACTACAATCCTTTCCCTATTGGAATACTGTGTCCGATAACAAATGCTCTTAAAGTTTAGAAAGACAGCTCAACCTTGGTAAACAATGCCAAACTGATAAATTAGCTCTAGACTACCTCAAGAAAAACCCACTAACAACTGCCTAAGCAATTTCTATTTTGCTCAGGCAAACAATTTTACTGGTTTTCATATAAAAGTTTTTATTAAATTATAAAAATTTTCTGTCTGCAGGCAGGTTCCATCTAAAAAACTAGGAACTTGGGTATTTAACTCATTCTTAAAGACCTTCAGAGAAGGATTTTAAGTTTCTTGATATCTTTGCGTGCGTCCTCTGTATAGCACATCCTCCCACCACCCACCAACGCACATATGTACACTCTACGGTGACCAGCTCATCCTGGTTTACCTGTTTGGGAGCCCTGGTGGTGCAGTGGTTAAGAACTCAGCTGCTAACCAAAAGGCTGGCAGTCTGAATCCACCAGCTGCTCCCTGGAAACCCTATACGGCAGTTCTACTCTGTCCTACAGGGTCTCTATGAGTTGGAATAGACTTGACGGCAATGGTTTTTTTTTTTCTGTATCCCAGTTTTAAACTGAAAAGTCCCATGTCTCAAGAATCTCCTATGTCCTAGGCAAACTGGAACAGTTGGTCACCCTAATACACAATTTGGAGATGTGGAATATTCTTCATTTGAAGAAACAGCGTTAATCTGAAATGGCAGCATGACATAAAGAAAAGTATCAGACCTGGTTTACAATTCTGGCCCGTGTTCACATGTTGCATAAATTGGAGAAAATTACTCAGTGTAACAGTTTCCTCATCTGTACAGCACAAGGATAATTATAATTCTATCACAGCACTATTGTAAAAGATACCTAAGAGCACACATGAAAGCACCTGACAGATTACACATTCCTAACAAATCTTCTGGTTTCTTCTTATTCAGTATTTAAGTAAGTGAATTCCTAATCATTTCAGGAGGGAATTCTGGTTACCTTCCTTCATTTCCTTTACATATGGTAAGTGGAATTATATGTAAATTCTTAAAATGAGATTATCATATGTATTATGTTAAGCAATGCATGAAATTTAACGCTCCAAAAACAGTAATCAAACTTTTTTTTTTACCTGAAGATTGTTGAAATCTACTGTCATAATTTCAAAGCACTCTGTCAGAGCCAAATATCCCCCAGGAACTCGACTCATCTTTTCAGTTGTATAAGGTTCAACAGCTTCCTCAGAATCTAAAGAAGAATAAGCTGGACTCTGAAAGTTCACATTTGCTGGCAAATGGATACCAGCAATGTCCTTAATACCAACCCTGATGGGAGGAAAAATAAACAAGTAGGGTGGAAAGGGAGAAGGATGGGTTTTTTTAGAATCAAGTAATACCATCTAACAGTGAGTCCAGAAAAAAATCAACATAAAAACGAAATAAAACTTCATGGGCAAAAGTTTCTTAAACACCATTACACACCCGCACAACCACTAACCATAAAAAAATAAATAAATGGTAAGACTACATTAAAATTAAAAACTTCTCATCAAAAGACACCTGGTAAGAAAGCAAAAAAGCCAAATCACTAAGTGGGGAAAGATACCTGCAATGCATATATCCAACAAAGGGCTCACATTAAAATATACAGTGAACATCCTTGCACAAATAACTGAGCACATATATGAGCACAGTCAGAGTAGATTCCTGGAAGTGGACTTGCTAGGTCAAGGACTTTAAACATCTTAATTGTGTTAGATAATGTCAAACTGAGCTATTAAAATCATGTACCAACAGTGTATAAATTTTTCCCATGCCTGTGAGAAAACAGAATATTATCAATCACTTCTAATACTAGCTAATATAAGTAGTTTTCCATTTCTTTGAATAACAGACACTTGTATGCATGCCTTGTTGCAAACATCGCAAATTTTGATCTCAGTCTGTCACTTGCCTTTTAATTTTATTTATAGTATCTTTCATCAGATGGAAGTTTTCAACTTTTATGTGGTCAAATTTCTCAATCTTTTATGGCTTTTGAACACTGTGTTTTGCTTTGGAAAGCATTCATCATCTCATGAATTTTTTTTACACATATATTTAATTCATCTGGAATTAAAAGATCTTTTTCCCAATGAATTATACCATCTCCATTTACTGAATAGCTTATTCTTTTTCCTGATGATCTAAAACTACCACGTTTCATGTACTAAATTTCTATAAATTCAATAATCTGATCTGTATCTAAACTCTTTATTGTGTTCCACTGATCTGTTTTTCTATTTCTGCACCAATACATTACTGGTTTTTATATCTAAAAAGGCATTTCACAATTTTCTTGACTATTCTTAAACATTTGCTCCTTCAGATGAACATTATACTCAGCTGGTCAGGTTCAAATAGTAATTTTTATAATAATGATTTTCAAATGTTTCTACCAGGTATAACAGCATTCATCTGTATTATTTTCACTACATTTTTTTTTTCAGTCTTTAACCTGCACTGCTGAGCACTGCAAAAATATACTGGGCTCACTCACACAGACCTACTCAATCAAAATGTATGGCATTTTTATTTTTACAAAAGCTCCTCCAGCGCTTCTGTTGTACAGCCAGACACTGTTTTGCTGTATAAATGAATGAGTGATGAAGGAAACCTTTTTCAAAATGGTAGATACCATCACTTAATTCCTATTTTGCTTAGGCAAACAATTTTAGTGGTTTTCCTACAAAATACAAAGAAGAAACTACCGAAGGGAAGGGGTCTGGAGTCATGCTACAGCAAAAATCCCAGAGAGACATAACCTAGATTTTCTGGTGGGCAATTAAGTGCTGTACCTCTAAAGCCTGAAAAACGCACATACTCTTTAACTTAGTAATTCCTTATTACCAAATTTATCCTAAGAAAATAATAAAGATCCTAAGAAAATAATAAAGATAAATCCACAAGATGTAGGTACAAAGGTGTTCATCCCAGTTTTTAAAACAAGAAAAGTGGAAACCTAAAATTCTAACATCTGAGGACCAGAACAGTAAGACACTGATAAAAATCATGAGGTAAATCTACTAACATGAAGAGGCTCACAAAGAAAAAGTTAATATTTTTTAGTGACAGTTCTGAAACAAAATTAAATTTATATACACATACACATTTATTTATACAGAGCTGACAGTCAACCAGTACACTCTCTTACAGCCAATGTTGCTGTCTGCTTAGTCAGTGCTCTGAACCTTACCAATCGTTAAACATTTCTACTGTCACCTTGTAAGAAATAGAGCAAAGAGTAAGACAGAATGTACAATAAAGGTTAACAGTGGTTATCAACCAGTGTGGGGTTTAGAATAATTTTTATTTTCTTGTTTTGTCATTATTTCTTAAAATACTTACAGGTTATACTTATTACTATTAAGTTACCGATGGGAGGGGCTTCCTTAAAAAGTTTTAACAAAACCTGGATCAATATTTTCACAAAATACAACACTCATTAACGTTCAAGAATAAAAATGTAACCAAGAAACACCTATAATTAAAAAGCATTTAGTATCACATTTTCATTTATACAGTGAAACCTGTGAGGGCCGGAACTCAATGGGACTGCCTGTTTTTCCAGGTTTTGAAAGTTTCCCACCTTTGACAGGGTACAGTCTTACCACTTTTCTATCGCTCGTTTTAGTGGAAAACATTTGAGTTTTCCTTTTCTGACAGGTGTCTGCCTTATATAGGTTCCGACTTTCACAGGTTTTACTGTATTGTATTTGATGAGCAAATCTTACAATCTCAAGGACAGAAAGATCCTAAAAGTTCATCCCATTCAACTACATATCATTGTAACAATAAAGTTATTAAGAGGAAAATGGGAGAAATAAATTAAAACCGAAATTTATTTTCACATTGGAATTTTTGCTATATTTTGCCTAAAATTAGTCTTAATATTTTTCTACATGAATCTTTCACGCATCAAAAGGATACCAGGTTGTATCAAAATTCATTTTCCATTAATAAAATAAAAGATGCTTTTAATCCCAAAGTTCCATTTTAAAACAAAGTAAAATATATGCTTAAAAAAAAATAAGCCTGGACTAAACATGAATTTAGAGGTCAGAAAACTACAAATCCTTATGCAAATATATAATCAACTAAAGAACCTTTGAAATAGAGTATACTCTTTAAAATTACTATTTTAAATTACTTAAATAGTTACTCACCTATGATGTCTTCTTATCTCTGCACATTCTACTGCCATCCCAAATATAACAGCACTTGCTGGTATAACTTTCCCACACTTTTCACAACTTCCATCTTCACCTTTCGTCTAAAAATACAATGATAAAAATTATACCGTTATATGCAAAATATGTGTGTATGACGACAAGTATGAAAATAAGAAAAAGACTTCAAAACAATAAGTATAAGCAGTTTTTTCCTGTAAAAAGTTTCTTTTATTTCCATTGTTATGTACTTTTTTTTTTTTTTTTTTTTGGTACAAGTACAAAGAAAGAAAGAAAGGACAGAAGAAAACTGTAAGGATACACAGAACAAAAGGCTATTAAGAATGATTTTAACTGAGAGGCCAAAATCATCTCACCACACCACACCACACCACAAGTTGCCGTCAAGCAGATTCTAACTCATGGCGACCCCATATGTGTCAGAGTAGAACTGTGCTCCATGGGTTTTCAATGGCTGATTTTTCAGAAGTAGATCACCAGGCCTCTCTTCCGAGGAGTGTCTGGGTGGACTCAACCTCCAACCTTTCAGCTAGCAGGTGAGCACATCAACCAACCATACCAAATCAGATACCACCACAAAGCCTTTTAATAATTTGCCAAAAATGCAAGCAGTGAGGGCTATGAAGCTGAAAGTACCTCTTTTTCTCAACAGTACTCAAGGATGTCACAATCAATCCCCTCACAAATTAACCTCAACTCCTATAAATTCCTCAATGGAGTATTTTTTTGCCCATATACCTCATTTGGACATACAAACATACATGTTCTTAAGTGGTTTTTGCAGGGATTTCTTTCCAAATATACAGTATATACGTTGATGGTGGGAAACGTATTTCATATTGCTTTGTAAACACACTAGGGTTTCAGCAAATATCTGTGCAAACAATGGATCATTCAAGTGTTTTCATGCTTACCTTTGGCTGCAAAAGTAAACAGTCCCATGCATGAATCAAACTCTCCACAATTCCTTCTCCAAATAAACCTGCATCGACAGTTTCTGTTACAACTAGGGACACTCTATAGAATGATTTTTTAAAGATATATGTAAGTAAAATATCATGCTATTATATAAAAGTGTTAAAGCTGAGAGAGGAGAGAAAGGAAGAGTATATTACAGAAACAGTCAATAGGTAAAATTTTCAAATACAATTCATTTTTAATATCGGTTTCTGAATCTTGAAGAACTGACTCAAATGTTCCTCAGGCTGCTCTGTTCTCCCCTGGCTCCTCCTCCTTATGTGTCAGGAGCACCCTTCACTTGGTCCTGCTGCCTCCTCAGGCTATTCTTTCATTGCCTAAATCCTTAAAAGTGGTTCATATCCATTATCTTTATCAGTCCCTCTCCTTAACATAGGACATAATTTTATCTTCAACACTAAAACACGCTATCTTTCACAATCCCACTTTTATCCAAACGAACAATCTTTCTCAGTTCTCATTTTCCTTGACCTACAAACAACATTTAATGCAGGTGGGAAGCCCTCCCTCTTAAAATTCATTCTCCATCTTCTATGATACTACATTATCAATGGTTGTCTTCTTCTGTCGTTTCTTTTGCTTCACCCACTAGCTTTGAGTCTTCATGAAAGACTTGTCCACATAGCTCTGCTCTTCCGTCCATTCTTTCCTCTAATTTCTCCCCTCTCTGAACTCCTTTAGCACTTACTGCCACTATCATTTATTTGTGTAGTTAAAAGATAAAAGTTTAATAAATATTCCTCATCTTCCCACCTAGACTGTAGGTGTCTTATGGGCAGATCTATTTTGATATCCCCCACAGCACCTAAACCCACTATTACATATACAGAAAACATTCAACATTTAGGATTGCAAACATTTAGAATGTGGAAGGTATTTCAAATCATCTAGTTTAACATCCTGAAGCCTAGAGATTTGCTCAAGGTCAAAATAAGTTAATAATAGAGTCTGAACTGGTATCCCTATCTCCTGATTCAAAGCCAGTAGACCCTTCTAAACACTATCTGCAGAATAAAACTCTGCATCATGACAAAATGCAGATTAAATTAAGGCAATTTTGATTCAGGACAGTGTTTAATTTCTATAAACCCACTGCCATACGGTCAATTCTGACTCATAGCGACCCTACAGGATGGAGTAGAACTGCCCCACTGGGTTTCCAAGGCTGTAAATCTTTATGGAAGCAGACTGCCAAATCTTTGTCTCGTGGAGCAGCTTGTGGGTTCAAACCACTGACCTTCTGGTTAGCAGCCAAGCACTTTAACCACTGTGCCACCAGGGCTCCTTTTAATTTCTGTAAAATGGTAATAATAATATCTACCTTAACAATCTAATAGGATCTCTTTCATGAGAACAAATGTAAAGATCATTGAAAATCATAAAGTACTATGTAAACATAAGTTATTACATAAATGGAAGAAGGTATTTTAAAAAATCATTGTCCAAATGACAACAGAATCCAAAAAACATCGTCTTAAAATCCATAAACTGAATAAACTTCAAGTAAAATGAGAACACAGACACCTAGGAGAAGTACTAGCTAGTGCTACATAGTGAAAACTCTGTCTCAAAAACGATGGTGTTGGACCAGATGATTTTTAAATCCCTTTTAACTTTACAATTCTATCATTCTTGTGACATGAATCAGAGTGAGGTAACATACTAAAAAGTCAAGACTTAACGGAATTATATTTAAACCATTTGAAGGGCCCAGGCCAAAATAAATTGACAGCTGACACTTCCTGAGCTTGCATTTCAGCCAAGGGTATTTACACAAAATGAAATAAGCCGATTGAGCCTGATGAGATCTACTCAGTTATTATTTTTTAGTACAATTTTTAAATAGTTATTGACCACACAGGAGGCATTATCCATTTTCACAAGCTAGAACACTGAAATTAACAAAGGTAAAGTAACTTGCTAAAGGTCAAGTTTATTTACTAAATCCCTTACTACAAATTTTCAAGATTTTTAAATATTTTTTATAGAGAATACAACCTTATTATTAAAATCTGTTTCATGCCAAAATAAGGGTTTAGCGTTTTTGCTTAGACTACAAACCAAAAACAAACCCGTTGCCACTGAGTCAATTCTGATTCATAGTGACACTACAGGACAGAGTAGAACTGCCCCACAGAGTTTCCAAGGCTGTAAATAATCTTTACAGAAGCAGACTGCCACATCTTTCTCCCCTGGTGCACTGGTGTGTTCGAACTGCCAACCTTCTGGTTAGCAGCTGAACCCCTAAGTACTGCGCCACCAGGGTTCCCTTTGTTTGGACTAGAAGCTAGAAATGTGAGTAGTCTGATTTTTAAAAACTAAAATAGTGAATTACAAACATTTAATTAATTTATATTATACCTTTCAGGAATGTGTTTTGGAATTTCTATGTCAAGTGACTTCATATGTAAGAGTTTGATCCCTGCTTCCATCTCGTTTGCTGCCACTACATCGCAGGCAAGTTCATACATGGTCTTGGATAACTCACAGGCATACACCGAATGTGCTCCAGCTTTTTTGGCAAACATGCTACAAGCAGAAAAAGTGCTCCATCAAGAAAAAAGAATCCACTAGCGTCTGTCAAATCTTAATGGAATTAAGATGTTTAAAGATGGGTTTTTCCTTTTACTCTTTAACTAACTCAACAATTATTCATTCCACATTAAAAAGAAAGTGAAATAATATTTTTGTCTAGAAGCAAATCATACAATAAATCATGACATCCACCCTATTAAGAAAACAAAACAGGCATTAAATAATCTTTAACTTAGAAAAATAGACTCTACCAGATGAGCGTACAAAAACTACTCTTAAAACTTACTATTGCAACTTTCAATAATTATTCTAAATTTTTCTCAGCACTTATGTCCAGTTTCTGATAAAGTTACAGTGAAAAATACAATAGTTGCATGAATAACCCTAACAAGATTATAAGAAGTAACAAATGAAACAATTTTTAATTTTAAATTTCATGTCAAATTCTCTACATTTAGTAAAACCTTTTATTTATATTATTAGTATACACTTATATGTATACATAATTAAAACACAATTACAACAAACCTTAGTATTCCAGTTCCTGTTCCAATGTCCAAAACACTTTTGTATCCTGAACGAACCACCTTTTGAATTGCTGCATTATAAATCTTATTCCTCTTGATATCATTAAGCATGATAAAGTGCCAACGTTCTACCAACCAGTTTGCAACGCGATAAAAATTCTCCTTTGCATCACTGAAATCAGGGTTGAGCTTCACTGCTTTATGAAAATACCCAGCTGCTTCATCTCTAAAGCCCATTCTAGAGTAAAAAGTAACAAAGAAAAAATATTCAACTCTGTGCTATCAATGGTTCATGCCACTGATCTGGCTTGGTAATCCTTCACCAGCACCTCAAATCCTACCCAATCCAAGGATCGCCTCCTTTGGGAAGTCTTCTGCGAGGACTGCAATCCTCAATGACTTCTTTTCTAAACTCCTACTATAGTGATGCATTTCAGAACACTAACAAGTACTTGATTATAAATTACTATTGTACTGAAGTACGGCAGAAGTTCTCTTAGTCAGCCTCCACTTAACCCAACTCAATAGAATAGCAATGCTCTCTGAAAACTATCCCCTCTGTAAAATACAGCTAACTAATGTCTGTGGCTAGCATCTTCTTCTCTGGTATGCCCACATACTTTCTCTCTCACCAGCTGAATTAAATGGTCATCAACAGTCAGTCGCATTTGCTGCCAGACCAGTTTACGTCAGTTGTACTCGCTACTATAATGACATACTTTAATTAAATATTACAGAAACTAGTATCTAATCCTTTGTAGTTCTATGTAGTCTGTCTCAGTTATCTAGTGCCACTATAACAGAAATTCTACAAGTGAATGGCTTTAACAAAGAAATTTATTTTCTGATAGTCTAGTAGGCTAGAAGTCCAAATTCAGGGCATCAGCTCCAGGGGAAGGCTTTCTCTGTCAGTTCTGGAGGAAGGTCCTTGCCATCAATCTCCCCCTGGACTAAGAGCTTCTCCGAACACGAACCCCAGGTCCAAAGGATGAGCTCTGCTCCCAGCACTGCTTTCTTGGTGGTATGACGTTCCCCCAATTCTCTGCTTGCTTCCCTTTCCTTTTATCTCTTGTAAGATAAAAGGTGGTGCAGGCCACACCCTAGGGAAACTTCCTTTACATTAGATCAGGGGTGCGACCTTAGTAAGGATGTTCTACAATCCCACCCTAATCCTCTTTAACATAAAATTACAATCACAAAATGGAGGACAACCACACAATACTGGGAATCATGGCCCAGCCAAATTGATACACACATTTTGGGGGTACATAATTCAATCCATGACACAGTCCTTTACACACGATTAGTATGCAACACACGCCACATCAGAGTTCTTCAACACCCAACTGGCCTATACTCTCTTCAACTAGAGAATTCCCTGATGACGTGATTGGATATACAACGTCAAATTGTTATACACATTTCTAAACACTTACTCTCAATTTCTATATTTATCTATCAGTAACTGGTAGTTTGTGGACCAGCACCAGTGTGTGGACCACACATTAAACAGAACTGAGCTAGCAGAACCCTTTTGTACTCATACTGCTTCTCAAGCCCTTGAAAGCATTTGATCCACTTTAAAAGAAACTGAATCAGACTATTCATTAAGGGGATGGATTAAGCAAAAAAGACATTCTGAAACTCTAAACGGGACTACACTGTAATAAAAGGCAATGGTCATATATCAAATGAGAGGCACGTATACTTTAAAATAAAAATGTCTGAGATTAGTCTGTTATGTTTTTATGATTCCTTGTATTTTGTGTATTTTCTTAGAATTATTTTATGCACATGTGCCAGCGTGCAGAAAGAGTTAGCAACCCTATCCTTTTAAAGTCCTACTTACAGAGTTTGCCCTTGGATTTTGGAAGGGTTCCCAACACCGTGACGAGATTGGCTCATTGTGCCTCACCTGTTCGTACAAACAATGTTGTTTATGATGGACACCTGCTTTCCTTCTGGGAGTCTAGAAGTTTGGTATGTGCCAGGCAGAGGGTACTTATGTGACCAACCGCCAATAAAAACCCTGGGTACTGAGTCTCTAATGAGCTTCCCTGGTTGGCAACACATGTCACTACAGCTCATTGCTAGGGGAATAAAGCATGTCCCGTGTGACTCCACTAAGAGAGGACCTTCAGAAACTTGTGTCTGGTTTCCTCCAGACTTCGCCCCATGTTGCCTTTCCCTTTCCTGATTTTGCTCTGTATCCTTTCACTGTAATAAAGCATAGCCATGAATAAGACTATATGTGAGTCTTGTGAGCAAATTATCAAAACTAGGGGTGGTCTTGAGGACACCCGACATAAATGCTTACTGTGTTATTGTCTAAGTCACCCTGTTTTGCCTGCTGTAATATTTTTCCTTTGCCAGGTGGCACAATGTTAGTCTCTGTCAGTAAAAAGTGCTGGAGAGACACTGCAGGAGGAAAGACTTTTGGTTCCTGGTTCCAGTGTGCTGCTCAGGACTTCTCCTGCACCAGGTGCCACCAGCACCCAGGGGTCAGCAGTTTCCCCCAGCACTCCTCTACTGGGCAGTTTTGTAATGGACTGCCTCCGGTGAGACACCTCCCGGTGCACAGTTTTCCCTGGCACCCCAGAGGGCAAATTTCTCAGCCATCCTGTGAACCATATCTCAGCCCAGTGGTGGGGACTCTTCTATCTCAGCCCCAGGGGCAGCGGCTACTGTGTAGTATATGATATTAAAACGCCTATAATATTACATATTATATTTACTATTCCTATATTCTTTTGATTCCTCTTTTCTTCTTACTAGCCAATCCCTCATTTCTCCAATCCTTTGTTGTAGTTAATAGCTTTTTATGTTAAACTTTCCCTGTTCAAATTACAATATGATTTATCCCTGGTCATAAAGAATAACTCTTAACAGGTAATACTGAAATCACTCAAACCTGAAAAGATGTTCTCCCATGCTATTGCAAATCACTTCATCATCAGGAAATAGTTCCAAGGCCTGTTCATAGCAACCAAGCAAGTCCTGGATTCGACTGAGAGCATCAAGCTCTTCAGCCCATCTGAAGAGGGTATACTGAAAAGTTTCCTTTACAAAAGAGAAAAAAAAAAAAAGAAAAAAAACAGTGAATTAGTAACATAAAGGATGAAACAATATACAATGCTGGTTCAAGATTCCACAGAGACTGGAACTTACCTATTATCGCTGATCACCTTAAATTTTATGTGGCTTTAGTAGGCACTGTTTGCAGAATAAACAAATGAGTAAATGAATGAATTTTACCACCTATTTGGCAATAATATGCAGAATTAGACAGTCTGACCACTCTCTAAACTCTCCAGTCTTAGCTGCCATATCACACCCTCCTGGTTCTCCACCTACCTCTTTTTTGTAGGCTTCTATTTTTTAAGTTTGTCCTCAGTCCCTTTCTCTTTTCTTATCCACACCCGAGGCATCAACTATCACCTATGTGTTGATGGTGTTACGTCTATATCTCCAATCAAGACTCTCTCTTCTGAATCCCAGACTCATAGATCCAACTTCCTATTAGTCATCGCAACCAGGGACTGTGCCCCAAGCCATCTCAAAATTCAAGTATTTCCTGGGGCTAAAACACAGGGATAAACAACTCTTTAAATCTTTCACCTCCTCTCCATGCCCACTGTTACAGTGTAATCTGGACCTCATAACCTCTTGCTGGGCTGTAACAATAGCATTCTCACTGACAGCGGAGCTCCAATCTCACCTCCCTCCAACCATTCTCCACATTACAACACACTGCGAAGAGGGCAGACTTTAGTCATCCCAGCTTTATCATAAACACATTTTAAATTACCTTTACATATTTTTTACAGAAGAAATGATACCTTAAACTGAATCTTAAAGGAGTTCACCAGAGAGACAAGAATAAGGAGATTCTAGGGTATGAGGACAAAAAATACAGATTGCATGAAATGGATCAGGGGATTTACAGATAAGAAGCTTGGTGTGCCTGCAGTTTGGCTATAAGGGGTCTGAGAGAGTAGCAGAAAATGAGACTAAAGAGAGAGATCTTTTGCAAAGAGCCCACACAAACGAATATGGACTTTTTTCTACAGGAAACAGAACTAGTTACTGAAGCTTACTAAATGCCAGGCATTACAATAGGAATTTCAGATATACTTCTAATCCACACTAAAAATCTATGAGAATTATTAGCCCTGTTTTACAAAAGAAACTAAGGAACAAATAATTGAGGAAATGGCACTTGGATTGATCCATTATTCTACCGCTGCCCACCCACAAGAGCAAGCTGCATCCTAATATATTACTTTCTCTTCCTTGAGTGGGCAAGCTGGTCCTGAAACTCACACTGAATTTGAACCAGGTCCGACGAACATAGAACCATCTGAAGCAACTGTGCCATTGGACTCAACTTTAAAAGTCTAACCTTAAAGTAAACTAAAGTCTGACTGACTGCTGGTTGAGAGACACTGTATTAAAGCAAAGCAACCTGAGGCCAAAAAATGAATACAAAATTAAGCTAAATCATTTTTTGAAATTTAGATTCTAACATTATTTGAAAACAAATGTATAGGATTTCAAGAGAGTAACAGTCACAAATAACTCAATAGCTGAAGCTTAAAGAATGCATCATAGCATGATACTTACTTCAGACTAAACTACAAACGTATTCAATTAAGAAATCCACCTTTCTTCCACACAGTAGCAAAGGCCCTGGGCCAGGATCATGTTTGGACTGAATACAGGGGGAGGGAGAGGATCACCTGAGGTCTACTTTGCCATACAATCGACTTTGGATTTTTCAGTGAGATGGACGCTTTGAAATGAAGTGACATCATTTGACTTTTGTTATAAAAAGCTCAGGCTGGCTGCACTGAGACAGACTGCAGGAAAGCCGAGGCGGGAGCCTATTCCAATAGCCGGACAAGAGATGACTGAGGCTTGAAACTGGGGTAGTAAAGGAGGAGGTGGTGAGAAGTCGTAAGACTCTGGATCTATTTCGAAGGTGGAGACGACAGGATTTCCTGATGGACTGGTTGTGGGAATGAATAAAAGAAGTCAAGGGAGAACGGCAAAAATAGTAACCACCAGCCACGCAAGCTAACTCCCAACCCC